ACGCCCCTAAACCCTAAACCCTAAACCTAAACCCTAAACCCTAAACCCTAAACCCTGAACCCCACAACCCCAAGGGTTGAGGGCCTGAGGCGCCCTGAATGTGTGCCAGGAACTTTAAAGATGGGGCTGTTCAAGGGCTAAGGCACGCTTTGTCGGACTCTTGACACCCGTGTACGGTTTAGGGTTTAGGGTTCAGGGTTTAGGGTTTAGGTTTTAGGGTTTAGGGTCCCTATAGCTAAACCCTGAAGCCTTCAACCCCTTCAACCCCCTCAACCCCTTCAACTTTCGTCCACCCCTTAAACCCTAAACCCTTAAACCCCCTAAACCCCTAAACCCCCTAAACCCCCTAAACCCCCTAAACCCCCTAAACCCCCTAAACCCCCTAAACCCCCTAAACCCCCTAAACCCCCTAAACCCCTAAACCCCTAAACCTTCAACCCTAAACCCTAAACCCTTATCCCTAAACAAACCCTTCTCAGCTACAACAAGCAAGGCTACAGACTAGGCGGACCTACGTCACTGCGCGCTCGGCGTCCGACGATGAACTCTCGGACACAGGGCTTAAACAAAAACAAGCTTTAACCCTAAACCCTAAGCCCTAAGCCCTAAGCCCTGAACGCTCGGCTTTGGGTTTATAGGGTTGAGGGTTTAGAGGGTTTGGGGGTTTGTGGAAAAAGGGCTTGCAGCGGCCCTCTTTGAGGTTTGGTGTTTTGGGTTTTAGGATGTTGGGTTCAGGGTTTAGGGTATAGGGTTTAGGGTTTAGGGTTTAGGGTTTTGGGTGTAGGGTTTAGGGTTTAGGGTTTAGGGTTTAGGGTTTAGGGAAACTTTGTGTCTAGGCCACAGGGATGCATGAAGTCCTAAGCCTAGGGGGGGGGGGGGTGTGCTTATGGGTTCCGTTACTCGAGTTGCAAAGTTGCTCTTGGGTCTAGAAACCCGAAGCCCTACGCCCTAAACCCTAAACCCTAAACCCTACACCCTACACCCTAAACCCTAAACTCTAAACCCTAAACCCTCAACCCTAAACCCTAAACCCCACACCCTGAACCCTGAACCCTAAACCCTAAACCCTAAACCCTAAACTTACTTGAAGCCAACTCAGAGGACAAAAGCCCCGTGGACTACCTCGAGCTGGACGACGACGAAGAAGAAGAGGAGGATGAGGAGGTCCTTGTTTTGCTATTGGGGCGCGGGGAGGGGGGGGGGGGGGTAGGGTTTAGGGTGTTTAGGGTTTAGGGTTTAGGGTTCAGGGTTCAGGGTTTAGGCTTTAGGGGAACCCTAATTAAACCCTAAACCCTAAACCCAGGTGATTCCACCCGCCAAAACGGTTCCAGATGTAAAACAACAACTAAACCCTAAACCATAAACCCTTAGACTCTAGAACCTACAGCTGCTGCCATACTGTCAGCCCGTCTTTCTCAGCTTTGTGAAAGGTTGGGGTTCCCGGGGTACCACCACCGGCAAAACCCTAAACCCTAAACCCTAAAAACCCTAAACCCCAAACCCCCAAACCCTCAACTTCAAGTGTAGCTTGGCTATGGGCTGCGGAATGGATCTCGAGCTCTCAGATCTCTGATGCACAGCTTCAAGATTCAGGGTTTAGGGGTTATAGGGTTTAGGGTTTAGGGTTTAGGGGTTACAGGACTTCTGTGTTGCAAAAGCTTTCCCAGGAACCCGGACCCTTATTTGTAGGCTGCAGGCGCGGGGGGGGGGGGGGGATACCCCCTTATTCTCCTCTCCTTCCCTAAGGGCGGGCCTCGAGTAAGTGGGGGGAGAGTCGTAAGCAGGCGAAGCGCCTACACAAGATGTCACGACCAGAAGTTGGCTTCGAACCTGAATATTGCGTGCATCGACTGTCCTTTCGACCTTGGGTTTGTACCGCATCACCTACTTGGAGGTTCATGGTACTTTTTAACCACTTATAACTGTACTTAAACACATATTAGGGCACTTAAGGGGCTTATAAGTGTGTTATACGTTATAAGGACAGTTATAGGTGGTTAGAAACTACCATGAACCTCCAAGTACCCCCAACGATGGTTACAACCCCCCATCGAACACCGAAATGCTTCGGAGAGCTTTGAGACTCGGGGCCTTGTTGAGGAAAGCCTGAACCTGAACCCTACGCCTAAAATTCCAAACCCTAAAACCCAAAACCCTAAACCCGAAACCCTAAACCCTAAACCCGACGCCCTAAACCCTAAACCAAAAATCCTAAACTCCAAACCCCAAACCCTAAACCCTAAACCCTAAAACCCCGGATCAAGCCCCTGGTCCAGGTAAACCTCTGGGAGTCAGTTCGAGAGGCCTGGCCTGTGCATGCAATGAAGACCCAGTGTCGGTCTCGGCATTGTAGCTCGCTTGGGTTGAGGGTGTAGGGTTTATTGTTTAGGGATTTCGGGTTTAGGGTTTAGGGATTTAGGGTTCAGGGTTTAGGGTTTAGGCTCATGGGAGTTTTTGTTCGCGCATATGTCATTTCACTTAAAACAGAATCCCAAGCATTGCGCTGTAAGGGTGGTATACTGCAGGGGAGCCTTGCATAAAACCCCAAAACACCTCCACCCCCTAAACCCCAAACCCCAAACCCCAAACCCCAAACCCTAAACCCCAAACCCTAAACCCTAAACCCTAAACCCTAAACCCTAAACCCTAAACCCTAAACCCTAAACCCTAAACCCTAAACCCTAAACCCTGATCTGGAACATGTGCAGCTTCGGGATGGACCCTAGAGTACAGAGGGTTTGGGCTGAAGCCATAAACTTGTTGTAGGCTTCAGGCTTTAGGAACTTGGTTTTAGGGCTTAGGGCTTAGGGCTTAGGGTTTAGGGTTTAGGGTTTAGGGTTTAGGGTTTAGTGTTTAGGGTTTAGGGAGTTTAGGGCTTAGGGTTTCAGGGAGTTTCGGGTTTAGGGTTTAGGGATTAGGGATTTAGGGACTTGTCCGGAAGATGGCTTAGGTCTTTGTGGCTTTCAGGGATGTCAGGGTTCACGGCTTGGAGCTTGCCGCTTTCAGGGTTTCGGGGTTCAGAGCCTCAAGGATCAGGGCCACAGCCTAAATCCTAAACCCTAAATCCTAAACCCCAAACCCTAGACCCTAAACCCTAAACCCTTCAGGGATTCAGGGCTTCAGGGCTGAGAGTTTAGGGTCTTCCCACGCCAGCTCGCGAGCGACCGGCGTGCACAAGGAACGGCAGCCCTTACCTTGGGTGCCCTCGGCACGCTTTACGGGGTTTAGGGTTTAGGGTTTAGGGTTTAGGGTTTAGGGTTTAGGGTTTAGGATTAGGGTCTCGGGTTTAGGGTTATAGGGTTTAGGGTAGCGAAGCCGCTCCGGGCTGGAAGGGTTTATTTGGGCATAGGGTGCCAGGTTTATGTTGAGGGTGTATGGTTTAGGGTTTAGGCTCTTGGTAGGTTTCGGGGTTCCGGGTTCCGGGTTTATTTAGGGTTCGGGTTTAGGGTTCAGGGCTTCTAGGGGCTTCACTTGGCCGAAAGCCTAATCCCGGAAACCCTGCAGCCTGCAACCGTACAGCCAACGCAAATCCCCAGCGCCCTCATAATCAGCGAAGCATCCCCACCCCTCAGCCTGAAGCCCCAACCCTAAACCCTAACCCTATAACCCTAGCCCTATAACCCTATAACCCTATATCCTTATAACCCTATAGCCTATAACGCTATAACCCTATAACCCTATAACCCTATAACCCTATAACCCTATAACCCTAAATCCTAAACCCTAAACCCTATAACCCTAGGCTGGGTACTAGGTTCCAGAGATCCTTGAAGGGATCTTATAACGGACCTACACGTCCATGACGTGCGAGCGCCCGCGCAAGATCCGTCAGGGGTTCAGGGTTGAGGGTTTAGGGTTTTTCGTTGTTTGTTTTTTTCGATGTTGCTTTTTGACGAAGCTCAACAATGCGAAGCAAAATCTAACGCAGAACTGGCGAAGCTCCGCGATCACCTCAGACCTGGGATCCCCAGACAGGGTTCTAGGGTTTGGGGTTTAGGGTTTAGGGTTCAGGGTTTGGGGTTTAGGGTTTAGGGGTACCGAACTTGGGGCCTTAACGTATTTTCTCTTTAGGGGCTTTGGGGCCCAAGAAGAAGCCCTGAACCCTAAAACCCTAAACCCTAAACCCTAAACCCTAAAACCCTAAGCCTCATCAGGTACATGGACTCTCTCAGGGAATCTCCAGGTGCATATGTAGACTTTTGGTTCCGAGGTGCAGGCGATTAGGCGCTGTGACGAACAGATCTGTGCGCGAAAGATGCGTTGCCGGGACTAATTAGTCAAGTTATTTAGGGTTTAAGGTTTAGGGTTTAGGGTTTAGGGTCGTGGATGAGCTGCCAGATGCTTCTTTTGTGTTCACTGTTGCAGAAGTACCGTGCCCTGGAGCTAAACAGTTTCGGGAACCCCCGGGTCTCCTAAACACCGAGGCTCCAAACTCTACAAGCTAAACCATAAACCAAAAAAACCCTAAACCCTAAACCCTAAACCCTAACCCCTAACCCCTAAACCCCTAAAACCCTAAAGCCTAAACCCTAAACCCTGTAACTGTAAGCTGGGACTTGCACTGGCAGTGTGCTCGCGTCCGCGCCTGGCCATTGGGATCGGGTAGTGGGCCACACCTGCAAGGTCATTGCTTACAGCCCTGCGCCATAAGGTAAGGTTTAGGCCTAGGACCCTCCGGGGCTTTCCCTAAACCCTGAACCCTAAACACCAAACCCTAAACCCTTAAACCCTAATTCCCCCTAAACCCTCAACCCCAAGCCCTAAACCCTAAACCTCAAGCCCTGGTGGGTTTACTGTTTTCAGCCTTCCTGCCTTGACTCTAGAAGCTAAACCATAAACCAAAAATACCCCTAACCCTAAACCCTAAACCCTAAACCCTAAACCCTAAACCCTAAACCCTAAACCCTAAACCCTAAACCCTAAACCCTAAACCCTAAACCCTAAACCCTGACTCAGCAGTGGGCGTCGGAACGGGGCTTTTCATGCCTCTGGTGCTTGAGGTGAGCCTGCTAAGTGGGAGGAGTGCTTCACTAGAAGTCGAGCCTTAGGGGTACTTGGAAAAAGGTTTTTAATTTTTTTTGGGGGTAACTGAAATTCCTCAGAAACAGCAAGAATTATGGTTTTTGGGGTGCTATAATTTCCTAAGAAACCGCAAGAGCTTAGAATTTTTGCTGGGGGTTTCCAAGTTCAGTATAGGAACCGGAAGAGCTCGTGGAGACCCTCAAAGCACGAGCGGAGAAGACTCTGGCGGTTGGCAAGGGCCGACTGGTGGGCTCCTCTGGAGACATTCTGGACGGAGCAGCCTCGGTTGAGGAATCTGGGTCATGGTTTAGGGTTTCGGGTTCAGGGTTATGAATACTTAAACGCAATAAGGAACGAGCATGACTATGTTTTCATAGTCCCCCAACAATGGTGCAGGAATCTGGGCTGCAGAATGGCGACACGCTGACCTTGCACGTAAGCAGCGTTCGCGTTCTTGGCAACCACCATGCTTGTTCGGCCATTCTGGGCGATGGGTCTGTTGTGGCCTGGGGTGCAGCTGGCTTTGGTGGCGACAGCAGCGCTGTGCAAGCTGACCTGAAGGACGTGCAGCGGATGCAAACTACCGGCCAAGCTTTTGGAGGTGCTTTTGCTGCCATTCTGGGCGATGGGTCTGTTGTGACCTGGGGCCATGCTAACTACGGTGGCGACAGCAGACACGTTCAAGACCAGCTGAGGGACGTGCAGCAGATCCAATCCACCAACTCGGCTTTTGCTGCAATTCTGGGTGATGGGTCTGTTGTCACCTGGGGCTATGCTCACCGTGGCGGCGACAGCAGTGCCGTGCAAGACAGGTTGAAGGGCACGATGTGGATTCAAGCTAACAGGATGGCTTTTGCTGCCATTGTGGGAGATGGGTCTGTTGTGACTTGGGGAGATGCTACGTATGGTGGTGACAGCAGTGGCGTGCAAGCTCAGCTAAAGGACGTGCAGCAGATTCAATCCACTGGCCTGGCTTTTGCTGCCATTCTGGGCGATGGGTCTGTCGTGACCTGGGGAGATGCTTTGCACGGCGGGGACAGCAGCGATGTGCATAACCAGCTGAAGGACGTGCAGCAGATCCAAGCATCCCACACCGCTTTTGCTGCCATTCTGGGCGATGGGTCAGTTGTCACCTGGGGCCGAGGTGACTCTGGTGGCGACAGCAGTGCAGTGCAGCGCCAGTTGAAAGATGTGCGGCAGATCCAAGCTATTTGGTGGGCTTTTGCTGCCATTCTGGGCGATGGGTCTGTTGTGACTTGGGGAGATCCGGACTATGGTGGTGACAGCAGTGCTGTGCAAGATCAGCTGAAGGACGTGCAGCAGATCCAGGGTACCAGCTATGCTTTTGCTGCCATTCGGGGTGATGGGTCTGTTGTGACCTGGGGCTTTGCGAACTACGGTAGCGACAGCAGACATGTTCAAGACCAACTGAAGGATGTGCAGCAGATCCAGGCTGCCCATTCGGCTTTTGCGGCCATTCTGGGTGATGGGTCTGTTGTCACCTGGGGTGATGCATCTTGTGGCGGCGACAGCAGCGCTGTGCAAGTTGACCTGAAGGATGTGCAGCGGATACAAACTACCGGCCAAACTGATGGAGGTGCTTTTGCTGCCATTCTGAGCGATGGGTCTGTTGTAACGTGGGGCTATCTTGGTGGTGGTGCCAGAAGTACAGTGCAAGAGCACACCACAGCAGTTGCTGAAGAACCGAAGCCACCTTCAACAAATCATCCGAAGAGCTTTGATTGTTGCTTTTGTTTCGTGCATTTCTTAGCTGCACCGGCCCGCGTGCACATGCCCCGCACATGGACGGCCTCTCAGACCACCCGACAGGTCGGCCCCGAATAATGCTGTGCAGCAGAGCGCGGGGGGGGGGGGGGGGGGGAGGAGGGCATTTGTAGGTGTTTCTAACATAGAGATATCAGCCCCATTGAACCAAATTGGCCCCTCAAAACTTACGTTCAGAACCCAACACTTACAACTTTGTACGTTGCTATAGCACATTGCTTCTTCTTCGATACTTAGGTACCCTACGAACACGTAGGTTTTGGGTTCTCAATTAGGGTAAATCCTAAACCCCAGCCCTGCAACCCGTTAATGTTGACTTCGCATTAATAACCCCCCCCCCCCTTCATTGATCAATCTCTCCGGCCAGGGCCTCCTCAATAATGTTCGCCTAAATCCTGGTAGGACGTACTATCAGTTGTAGTATTAGGTAGTAGCACCACGCCCGTAAAAACCGGATTTCCCGGGTCGGATTTTATAATTGTGGCGGGTTACATTATTGTGTTCCGGGCAGCGGGATTTTATAATTGTAGCGGGCTTTATTAATGTCAAGTCAACATTACACCGCAAGAAACTGTTCTCTGCCGAGGTTCTCCCCCTCACCCCCTCCGAATTGGAGAGAGGTCCAGGGGTTTTGGGTTTAGGGTTTAGGGTTTGTTCAAAAGGTCAACGCCCTTATAAGGCCCAAAACCCTAAACTCAACCCCCCTTCAACGGGACTCTTCTTGAAAACCCGTGGTGTCGAAGTCTTCGACTTTGTTGCCCCATGAAACTTGGCTTGTATGGGACTTGGGGCTCAAATGCTACCCCTAAACCCCAAACCCCAAACCCCAAACCCCAAACCCCAAACCCCAAACCCCAAACCCCAAACCCCAAACCCCAAACCCCAAACCCCAAACCCCAAACCCTAAACCCTAAACCCTAAACCCTAAACCCTAAACCCTAAACCCTAAACCCTAGGGTTGGGAGCTCAGGGTGGCCACCTCGGTTTCGAACTCCAGGAAGCTTTCTTGCAATGGATGACTTGAGTTTAGGCCTTAGGGTTTAGGGCTTAGGGTTTAGGGTGTAGGTTTTAGGGTTTAGGGTTTAGGGCTAGGGTTTTGGTTTTTCCCTCAACTCCGCAATCCCTTTTCCCTCACCCTAAGGATCCATGTACTTGTGTAGAATAGCCTCGGGCCTTCTATGTAGTATCTTTAGAGCTATAAACCCTAAACCCTTAACACACAGGATCCTTAGGGTCAAACACTCCGCGCAACACGCGAAAGCCCCAACGCGCCAGGTGGCTACGTCACCGTGGGTGTCGTGGGGGGCACGAGTGGGCTGGTGACCGGAGGTCGCCACTCTTTTGGGGTTTAGGGTTTGGGGTTTAAGGTTTAGGGTTTTGGGTTTTGGGTTTTAGGGTTTAGGGTTTGGGGTTTAGGGTTTGGGGTTTAGGGCTGTTCATGGTTTATGGGTTTGGAGGCCTTAGGGGCTTTCATGTGTGTTTATTTCGGGCTTAATTACAGAGGGCTTCCAGGGTGTGAAGGGTTTATGGACTTCTTTATTGGGTTTTTGTTTCGGGCTTAGAGTTTAGGGATTTTTTAGGGTTACACGGCCAGCTCTACCACCCATTGCTGCTAAAACCCTAACCCTGTAAACCCTTTGACTCTAAACCAGGAAACCTGATTGGGCGTTTGGTTAGGTTTGGTTGGGCGTTTCGGGCTTTGGGGCTGTAGTGATTTGGGTTTGCGTTTAGGGTCTTGGGCTTAGGGTTCAGGATTTTAGGGTTCAGAGTCTCAAGTTTCGGGCTAAGGGTGTTGATGTGGTTCAGGGTTTTGGGGTTTGGGGCCCCGGTGGTTTTTTTGGGTTTAGGGTTTAGGGTTTAGGGTTTAGGGTTAGGGCCCCGCTGAGGCTGCTTTTGGGGACTTGGCTTGGGGAGGGAAGCTGAGGTCTAGCCCAGATGGTTGAGGGTTATATAGGGTGGTTCAGGGTTTAGGGTTTAGGGTTTAGGGTTTAGGGTTAATAGGGGTGGTTTTTGGTTTGTGGGCCAAATTATCGTGAGGGTTTAGGGTTCAGTGTCTAGGGGGTGGTTCTTGGTTTTGGGGCCAAATTATCCTGAGCAATGCAAATCTGTGGGCGAGGGCCTTGACACCTCCGAATCATCGGTTTAGGGTACGTACCCGATATATAATAAGGCCCCGTAGTGTTTTTCAGATCCCCTAGAAAAGGAGCATCGTTGGGAGAACCTCCCATATCCTTCCGTGGGCTTTGACCAGGGGGTGAATCCTTAAACCCTAAACCCTAAACCCTAAACCCTAAACCCTAAACCCTAAACCCTAAACCCTAAACCCTAAACCCTAAACCCTAAACCCTAAACCCCAAACCCAGTCCTCCATCCCCTTGACCCCGGCCACCGGCCGCAGGAAACTCCCAAGCCCCAAGCCACCCCACCGTAATGTTGACCTCGTAATAATAAACCCCCCCCCCCCCCTTCAATCAAACCCCCCCAAATAGAGTAGGGCCCCTTTGAATAAGGATTCCTTTCCTTAGGGCCCCCCTTCAATCAAACTCCCCCAAAAAAAACCAGCCCCGACTTGGCGTACTTTATTCCCAGGGCTTGATTATTGCGGCCGGGACCCCTGGCGCACTTTAATATCAGGGGGTTCAATAATACGAGGTTAACATTAAACCCTTCGACCCTAAAAATCAAAACCTTACAACTCCAAAATCCTAAACCCTAAAACCACAAAACCCTAAAGCCCCAAACCCCTAATCCCTAAACCGTCTAAGCCCACAAAACCCTAAACACCCAAACCCCAAACCCTAGAACCACAGAAACTAAACTCGAACCCCCATCCCGAAAAATTTCCGTGGCTTGATCTCCCAGTGAGCTCGTGTAAGCCCGAAACCCACAAGGCCCAAACCCTCAGCCCCTAAACCCTGAAAACTGTGAACCCGTAATCCCCAAACCCCTGAACCCCTAAAACCCCCAACCCTAAGCCACCAAGGCCCTCAAACTTCTAAACTCGAAACCAAAAAAAAACTCAGATTCTCAACCCACCACCCCTAAACCCCAAACCCCAAGCCCCTGAACCCCTGAACCCTTAAACCCTAAACCCCTAAACCCCTAAACCCCTAAACCCCTAAACCCCTAACCCCCAAGCCCTAAACCCTAAACCCTAAACCCTAAACCCTAAACCCTAAACCCTAAACCCTAAACCCCAAACCCTAAACCCTAAACCCTAAACCCTAAACCCCAACCTCCCCGAAGGCACTGTCGGGACTCTGGTGGGCCTCGGCCCGGCGCTTCTCACAGCAGGGCCAGGGGCCCGGCCCTTTTTGGAGGTTTAGGGTTTAGGGTTTAGGGTTTAGGGTTTAGGGTTTAGGGTTTAGGGTTTAGGGTTTAGGGCTAGAGGGTTATAGGGTTGACGGTTTAGGGTTTTGTTTTGGCCTATAGGGTTTCGGGGTATAGGGTTTAGGGTTATAGGGTTCTAGGATTGGTTCTAGGGTCTTTTCTTTGCCGGAAATGAG